GGGGGGGGGGGGGGGGGGGAGGGGGGGGGGTTAAGTGAACTTAGGAATGGAAGATTTAAAAGGCAAAAAAGATGTTTTCAATCTCACAGAGAATTTAAGGTGCTTATTTGCAGCTCTAAAATGGTTCTCCAAGTGCTACAACCTGGATGATGTCAGTAGTTCCTCTTCCCTTGTTTTTCCATTTTCAACTTTTTCATTGCTACACACCACATCACTTGTGGATAGAGGAGAAGGAAGAGGAGGAGGAGGATGGACACGAACAACTGGAATGTATATTTTCAAAAATTGAGACCTTCCCAATATTTGCTTGCTTCTAAATTGGGGAGGGCCTGCGGAAGACTATCTAACTCTTCTGTACCCAATAAAAGATCACCCGAATGTTAGAAGCTTCTCACGGATTCCAGCCAAGAGCGTGAAGGGTTACATCCAGCCATTCTTGCTCTGTTTTGAAATGCCTCTTCTACTATTTTTTTAATCATACAATAGTTCTAAGCAGTTAGGAAGCTGTTATTAAAACTATTATTAAAACCTTTGTTGTCCTAAGAAATCTATTCCCACTATAGATTTAGGAATCTAAAATGGTTAAAAGCCAATGTGCCTAAACTGAAATGGTTCAGGATCTGATGCTTTGTTAAGAACATTGGAAGAGGCCTGAGGCTGGGTGAGGCCAAGGGCCTATCTAGGCAGTCTTCTGAAAAATAATCAGTTGAATGTATCCAAGAAGCTCACAACCCTGTAAAGAAAGGTAATTGTTTTCTTCTATTTTTGCTCCCAGGCAACGAGTATTTAAAGAATGCTACCTGGGATTCTAGAAATGAAAACTGACATCAAAATGTCATGGTTCAGTTACTTGATGGACAGAGGTCTGCCTGTCAGTAACAGCTTCTCTGAGTTCTTGTAGGCTCCTGTTCATGTCATCAGTGCTTTAGTAGTCACCTTGTCTTCTGTTGGCCTCTTTTCTTTTTTTTTTACTACTTTTGATTTTTCCAAGCATCTGAGTCTTCCCTAGTGACTCTTACCTTCAAATTATCCAAAGTATTAAACTTTACTTTTATTCATGCTTCTAGTGAAAGACTGATTTTATCTCATCTGCTATTGAACATTATTGTAGCTGTCCAAGGTACTTCCAGCAATTCAAAGGTGCGGATTTTTCTTCATTCAGCCTTTCTGATAGTCCAGCTTTCATAGCCATTAAATTATAATTTGGGAAATCATATTCTTGACAATGGATACCATTGTTGTGAGCATGAGGTCTCTACACTTCAATATTTTGCCTGTATCTGCCACAGTTTTTCTCCCATGTAGCAGATGTCTTTTTATTTCATGGCTACAGTCACAGTTCCTGTAAATTTGAGGCCTGGGCATCACCTCTTCTATTTCTTCTCTGCCTCTTTGCATTGGGTTGACATTGCCTGTTGCTACAATTTTAGGCCCTTTGTTTTGTTTTTCAAGGCAGCAGACCAGCTTTTGAACTCACTTATTTGATCTTCAACAAGAGATTCCTTTTCATTGGACCCAGCCACCAAAGCGGTACCATCAGCATATCTGGCATTGCTGATGCTTCTCCCAAATTTCTGCTCCTCCTAGCCTAGTATGTTTGCATGTAAGTAAAACAGATCCTGTGACAATACACAATCTTGGCTCACTCCTTCCCCATTTTTGAACCTTCTGGTTGCTCCATATTCTTTTCTGATTGTTCTTTCCTGCTCATCCTACAAATTCATCAAGGTGGCCAGACCATTAATCATTTTGGTTGCCCCTTTTCCACACTGACAAATCTCCCTTTCTAGGTCTGGTGACTGGAACTGTACAGCTCATGCCAGGAGCAATTTAACGGGCTGTTTTCTTTGGGACTCCCTTCATAAGGATTCCCAGCAGGGACTTTGCATTTTCACAGCAGCCGCATGCTGGGTCCACATTTTCATGGTGCCCTGTCCTGAACAGTCACTGGGTATGTGATGTTTGGTTTCTTTGGGCACAATATAGATTACACATATATGCATGATGTCTTACCATGCATAGATTGGGAGATGTCTATTTCTCCACCACCACCACCGCCTTCACCCCACAAAAAAATAGAAGAAAAAGTGATAATTAAAATCATTTGTTTGGAGGAAAGGAAATTGGGCCTTGAAGGACAAGTCCAGACACAATTTTGCTACATCTCCACCTTTGGTGTCCCACAGACCTGATGCAACAAGGAATCACTGCATCACCTCAAAGTACTTTTCCTGCCTTGGAATTTTGTAGCTTGGCGCATCTGCACTTCCCGTGGGGTTTCCTTGCAATCAGCTGATGGAGACACGTGGGGGGGGGGGCACCACAAGAGGCAAAATACCTGTGAATCACTCTCCTTTCCCCCCCGATAAGGCAGGCAGCGGCTCCCTCCCTTCGCAAAAACCCGTCCGGTTCTGCCTCAGCCGAAGACGCCGCGCCAGGAGCGGGCTCCTCTTGCAGCTTAAGCGAGATCATCCCAGGTCGGCCCGTTTGGGCA